ATTTTTTTAATAACATAGAGAAAAAGTGAGTCAGTGCAAAAGAAAATTGGAATCCCAAACCAAAACAGTGTCGTTTCTCTTGATCCTTCTGCAATCATCTTCCTCACCTCCTCGACTCCTTCGATTCCTTCAATTTTCAAACACAATCCCACGCCGCCTGCAAAAGATTCTATATTTCCATCCTCACGCTTTGCCCTTTTCACTTTCTTATTCTCTGCAACTTCAAATTCAGCACCAAATTTTTTTTTTTTGAATCCCAAAAAAAAAAAAAAAAGATAGAAGAATGGAGCTACCTATGATAGATCTGGAGCTGTACTTGAAGATCACCAGCCAACTCGGCAGTGACTCTGCTAAGAAGGCAACTAACATCGGGGCTAGATTCGGTAAGTTGTGTGGTGAGGTGAGTCATGTGCTGAAGGGAACTGGGGCATTGCTGGTCAATGATCCAAGATGTTCAATGGAGGACAACGATCGATTCCTCAACATGATGGAGAAAAAATTGGTGTTGGCGGTTAAGTCAATAGCCTAGGATTGTATTTGCAAAATTGAAGGAATTGAAGGAGTTGAGGAGGCGATGGAGATGGAGATGACTGTAGAAGGGGGCAAAAAACAACAGGAGTTGGAGATTAAAAGAAACAAGATCGTTTTGGTTTGAGACTTCAATTTTGGTTGATGTCGCACTTCCCCCTTGTATTATTAGGCTAGTGCTAGGAGCACTCGCCCTTGCACTTGCCAACGGACACCCAAGATATGCTAAAACCACGTCAATGTTTCTGTCAAATAGATATACCGGCAACTTAAAGAGGTAGTTATATTGTTAAATGTTAAAATTAGTTAAACGTTTGGAGTTTTAGCCCAAAAGAAGTCTAAAGTAAAGTTTAAAAGATATGAACAAAGAAGTTTCAGAGAAAAAATTGCAGCGAGGCACTATTTGCGACAATCAATAGGGAGGCAACAGGTCGGCTTTGTTGTCATAGCAGGTAGTTCTTCTTCCTCCTTCATTTTGGTCATGGTAGTGAGGGAGTGGGTTAGAAGGGACTTGATTGAGAATCCAAAGGGGAAATAGGGGTTAGAGGTGAAAAGGGATTGGTGAATTTGGGTTCTTCGGGGAATAATTATGGCTAAGATAAGGTGGCTATTGGTTATGGTGGGTGTTGAATTGGAAGTGACGATACCTGGTGAATTTTGAATTTCGCCACTATATTTGACAGATGATGGTGGGGTGAAATGTTGAGCATGAAAATTTCACATCGAGTATAAAAATGAGAAACTTGTGAGTTAAATACAAGGAGGGCTACTACACTTGTCAATTGGTTTTAAGTTGAATGCAAATTTTGTGTTGAGTCCACATGCACAATTTTCTCATGGTATCAAAGTCCAAATTCTGCTATGGGAATCCATTATTAACCCACCTGACAGGACCCGAAGTTAAAGGTACCGGGTTTGCATTTAAGAGGGCGTGTTAACTCACATGATAAGACCCGACATTCATAACGAGCTTACACGTGAAGGGGCGTGTTAAGTGAAAAAATCTCACATCAAGTATAAAATAAGAAGCTTGTGGATTAACTACAAGGAAAGTCACTCCACAAAATACCAATTGGTTTTAGGTTGAATGCAAGTTTTGTATTGAGTCTATATGCACAATTTTTTCGTGAAAATTGATGGGTATTTCTACAAGTGAAAGCTACAGGTAATAGTGGGGATTCAGGGGAAGTGGAGAAAAAGAGAAGGAAATGATTTAGATGAAAAAAAAAGAAGGCTAGAAATTTGATTGTGAGGCCACCCAAGCTTGACAAATTTAAGAAACTTCAAGATATTCAAATCGAAGAGAGAAAGTTTTCGTCCCATGTCCAATCAAACAAAAAGTTTATTTTAGAAGACGACCCAATTTTTTTTCTTGTTTAAGGAAGAAAACCCAATTTTATGAAAAACTTTAAGCCAACCCACCATGTAAGTTGCTAGTAACGTATTTAAAAGCAAGGGTGATATGGCTTCAACAGATCTCGTGTGTCCATTGACTGATTGATGAGTGAAAAAAGCGAGTGCTCCTAGCATTGCTCTTATTATTATGCTTAATTATTAGTGATGACTATAGAGTTCATACAATTGAAATTCTATGCTTTAGTTGGAAAAAATATATATACGTCTGAACCACTTAGTTTAATATATAAAAAAATACTGTAATTGATTAAATTATTGGCACTTATACCCTAATTGCTTTAATTAGATGCAAGGTATCCATGGCTAAGATTATAATTTTATTAATCTTTGTTTTGTTGTTGGTTTTTTTTTTTTTTTTTTTTTTAAAAAAAAGGGAAAAAAATGAAAACAACAACAAAACAAAGGCTAGGAGTGAGTAGCAGTCAAAGGTCACCATCCCTTGCAAGCACAAAAAGCTTACAAGAAACCACATGGGTGTGCAATTGATAGGCAAAAAACTTGTAAAATTTTCCTCTTTACCCCAAAAACTCCTCTATGTTCAATGTATATATATACACATACACATATATAAAAGCAGAATCGTCAAATCCACCTCTCAAATAGGTAGGTAAAAACATATCCATCCTTCGAAAAAATGTAAAGACAAATTATCCTTTTAAATTATAAATTGAAATAAATCACCCATTTTTTAACATGTGACGTCAACTTTTCATTAAAAAATAGTTACGGGACAAACAGAATTTTGACATCACACGTTAAAAATTAAGTGATTTATCCTAATTTATAATTTAAAATGACAATTTATCTTTGTATTTTTTTAAAGATGAATCTATCCTTGCCCATTTATTTGGGGTGGATTCAGGCTTTTGCCCAAATATATAAAAGAGAATGGTCATGGGTATGCTACTCCCCTCTTTTTGCTCACAAATAATGAAGATATGAACAGAACTCACACAATACAAGTGTGCAACAAACAATGCATCATTTGGAATCGTATCAAGTCCTAGAGCTATGGAATATATATGCAAAGTTATTTCAGATCGTAATTGGTCTGAAATATATTAAATTAACTCTTGTCGTGCATAATAAAACTTTCAAAAATTTCTAGCAGTGTATTATTTCAAACTGACTTTGGTCTGAATAATGGCAAAAATTTTTAATTCCAATGTTCAAACATTTTGGCAGCAAAAGGCGCTTAATTTATTCAGACCAACTTTGGTTTGTATACCTATCAAATAAAAACAAGACCAAAAAAAAAAAAAAAAAACAAAAACAAAAGATATCAAAAAGGGGAGAAAGAGGAGGCGGTAATATTCCGACCACTATTGGTCTGAATAACTTTTCCAGACCAACAATGGTCCGAATATAGTGTCTATACTTTGTTTTCTTTTTCCTTTACACGTCAAACTATGCTCGATTCATTGTACTATCACTTGAACAACAAGATCTGAAGGCCTTGAATACCTTAGAACCTATATTTAAAACTAACAATAACAATCCAAAGGTCTTATAGATTCATAACGGCTTGGGAAAGCCTTGTTGTCCTTAAATGGAAAGAACGAAAAAGTTTTGAAAGAGAAGTTTTTAGATTTTGGGCACTATATTCAGATCAGTGTTGGTCCGAATAACTTTTTCAGACTAATAATGGTTCGAATATAATGCCCAGTATACCTTATTTTTTTCTTTTTCCTTTACATTGCAAACTATGCCTGATTCGTTGTACTATCACTTGAACAACAGGATCTAAAGGCCTTGAATACCTTAGAACCTATATTTACAACTAACAATAACAATCCAAAGGGCTTATGGATTCATAATGGCTTGGGAAAGCCTTGTTGTCCTTAAATGAAAGAATGAAAAAGTTTTGAAAGAGAAGTTTCTAGATTATGGGCACTATATTCAAATCACTGTCGGTTCGAATAACTTTTCCAAACAAATAATGGTCCAAATATAGTGCACAATAAACTTTTTTTTTTTTTTTTCCGTTTACACCTCGAACTGTGCCCGCTTTGTTATACTCTCACTCAAACAACAGCATCTAAAGGCCTTGAATAGTTTAAAACCTATATTTAAAACTAAGAATAACAATCCAAAGGGTTTATAGTTTGGTAACGGTGTGGCATAAATATAAAGTTAATCTTAACTCCACACGTTTGAAGTTTTACAATGATGTTGCCTTATGTCACGGAAAACCAATTTTAGGTGCTTGACTGATGGTGTTGGGGTTGTGAGTGACTATAGTGGTGCAATGCAAGCACTTGGCTTTAGTAGAAATGGAATCGGGTCTTGGGAAAGCCTTGCTATCCTTAAATGAAAAGAATTAAAAACTTTTAGAAGAGAAGTTTCTAGATTCTGTGCACCATATTCGAACCACTGTTGGTCTGAATAACTTTTCCAGACCAACAGTGGTCCGAATATAGTGCCCAATATATTTCCTTCTCTTCTTTTTTTTTTTTTTCTTTTTCCTTTACACATCAAACCATGCCAAATTCATTATACTATCACTTGAACAACAAGATCTAAAGGCCTTAAATACCTTAGAACCTATATTTAAAACTACTAATAACAATCCAAAGGGCTTATGGATTTGTAACAGCTTGGGAAAGTCTTATTGTCTTTAAACAAAAAGAACGAAAAAGTTTTGAAAGAGAAGTTTCTAGATTCTGGGCACTATATTTGGACCACTGTTGATCCGAATAACTTTTCTAGACCAACAGTGGTCCAAATATAATGCACAGTATACTTTTTTTTTTCCTTCACATCTCGAACCGTGCTCAATTCGTTATACTCTGACTCGAACAACAACATCTAAAGGCCTTGAATAGCTTATAACCTATATTTAAAACTAAGAATAACAATTCAAAGGGTTTATGGTTTCGTAATGGTGTGGTATAAGTATAAAGTTAACAATCTTAACTCCACGTGTTTGAGGTTTTACAATGATATTGCCTTACGTCACAAAAAACCAATTTCAGGTGCCTAACTAATGGTGTCGGGGTTATGGGTGACTATAGTGGTGCAGTGCGCACACTTGGCTTTGGTAGAAATGGAATCAGGTCCTGAGAAAGCCTTGTTGTCCTTAAATGAAAAGAATCAAAAACTCTTAGAAGAGAAGTTTCTAGATTCTAGGCACTACATTTGGACCATTGTTGGTCCAAATAACGTTTTCATACCAATAGTGGTCTGAATATAGTGCCCAGTATACTTTTTTTGTTCTTTTGTCCTTTACACGTCGAACCATGCCTGATTCATTGTACTATCGCTTGAACAACAGTATCTAAAGGCCTTGAATAGCTTAGAACCTATATTTAAAACTAACAATAACAATCCAAAGGGCTTATGGATTCGTAACGGCTTAGGAAAGTCTTGTTGGTCTTAAATGAAAAGAATGAAAAAGTTTTGAAAGATAAGTTTCTAGATTCTGGGCATTATATTCGGACCACTGTTGGTTTGAATAACTTTTCCAAACCAATAGTGGTCCGAATATAGTGCACAGTAAACCTTTTTTTTTTCCTTTACACCTCGAACTGTGCTTGATTCATTATACTCTTACTCGAACAACAATATCTAAAAGCCTTGAATAGCCTGGAACCTATATTTAAAACTAAGAATAACAATCCAAAGGATCTATGGTTTCGTAATGGCGTGGCATAAGTATAAAGTTAATAATCTTAACTCCACATGTTTGAGGTTTTAGAATGATGTTGTCTTATGTCACGGATAACCAATTTCAAGTTCCTAACTAATGGTGACGGGATTATGGGTGATTATAGTGGTGCAGTGTGTGTACTTGGCTTTGGTAGAAATGGAATCGGGTCTTGGGAAAGCATTGTTGTCCTTAAATGAAAAGAATCAAAAACTCTTAGAAGAGAAATTTCTAGATTCTAGGCACTATATTCGGACCACTATTGGTCCGAATAACTTTTCCAAACCAACAATTGTCTAAATATAGTGCCTAGTATACTTTTTTCTTTCTTTTTCCTTTACACATCAAACCGTGCCCGATTCATTGTACTATCACTTGAACAACAGGATCTAAAGGCCTTGAATACCTTAAAACTTATATTTAAAATTAACAATAACAATCCAAAGGGCTTATGGATTCGTAATGGCTTGGGAAAGTCTTGTTATCCTTAAACGAAGAGAACGAAAAAGTTTTGAAAGAGAAGTTTTTAGATTCTGAGCACTCTATTTGGACCACTGTTGGTCTGAATAACTTTTCTAAACCAACGGTGGTCCAAATATAGTCCCCAGTATACTTTTCTTTTTTTCCTTTACATATTGAACCGTGCCTAATTCATTGTACTCTCACTCAAACAACAAGATCTAAAGGCCTTGAATACCTTAAAATCTATACTTAAAACTAACAATAACAATCCAAAAGAGCTCAGGAAAACCTTGTTGTCCTTAAACGAAAACAATAAAAAAGTCTTAAAAAAGAAGTTTCTAGATTTTGGCTATTATATTCGGACTACTGTTGGTCTGGAAAACTTTTCCAAACCAACAGTAGTTCGAATATAATACACAATATTCTTTTTTCTTTTTTCTTTTTTTTTTTCCCATTACACCTCGAATTGTACTCAATTCATTAAATTATATAAATTTTAAATTATATAAATTACATTAAAATGATTACCCATTTAAAGAACTGTAAATAAATCTCTTCTATAGTTTTGCGTTATTCATTATTAGAATAATTTTTATACAACTATAAGATCATTATATAATACTATTTTTCAATATAATTCAAATATAAAATATTATAAAATTAATTTATTATAAATTACTTACTCAAAAAATAAATAA